TAGTAATCGTTAATTTACTCGAAGAATTTCCCCGCTCGATGGATGAGTTACGAGGGTCCGAACGAGAAGATTTCGTCGAGACAAAAAGCTCTATCGACGAAAACAATATCCCGTAACGTAAACACTTCAGACAAGAATCGGAGATAATCATCTTCTGATAATGCAATAACGAGATATTCGATTATCACGCTTGTTTACCGACCATGTAAAGACACGAGATATCGTTCCGAAAATAGAAAAACGGAGAAAAGAAAGACCGACGAGCTGCACTGAGAAAAATTTCCGTCGGATAAACCGATTAAATGATGTATATCCGATTATTTTTATTATCCGATCAAGTAATGGATATCTTTATCCATTGAAGTGTCCGATAAAGTTACCGATGCAGTTACCGATGAAACCTAATCGGGAAATCAGTCACCCTTTGTACATCTGTTGTAATTTTAATCGGATAAAGGCACGATTCGATCGGATGAAACATGACAAAATAATCGGACCTCGTACTTGATCGGATGTATATTCGTTTGTTACTTTTCAATTGGATTATCAGATATGACCGGATATTTTCCTCAGTGTGAGGATCACATGAAAGCTCTGTTTGCTCTGTCAGAAATATAAGAATCACGCACGAAGCTCAGACCAGCGGAAACGAAACGAGACTCGGCTTGCGAGGTGAAGGTCCCCGGTCACGCTGGAATCTCGCGACTCAATGGATTCTCGTTGGCACCGGCGGTCAGGTTGGAATCACGCAAGTGTATCGATTATGAATGAGTCTCCAGGTCCATTCAGCTTGAACGTGACCCAGCGTCCCAGCCTTGGTCCATCCTCGGCTCGTCTGCTGAAGCCCGGTCACTTTCATTCTGCGACACTCGCCGCCTGTCCTTAAGCCGCTGTCGCGACCCCGAGGGACTCGCAACACGAAGACATCGCATTGGACCAAGCGAGACACTGTGGGCTTTATAAAAGAAGATTGAAATAATGACTGCGTTCGGAGAACACAGCGATTAGTGAGCAGCCAATGATCATTCGTCTCTTCTGTTAGATCCTTAAATTTCGAGCGATTGCGTTGACGAATTACTTAACCGTTGTGCAATTTTATGATCTGCGTAATTTTTATTGTAGATTTTTATAAAGTCTCTCGTGAATACAGTAAAAAATTATCTAAGTCAAGTAGCGTTGCTTATATACGAGTGCGAAGCGACTTCGTCAAGGGGTCTCGAACGCGACCTAAGCGCGCTGTTTGCTCTCATTGCTCCTGGCAGGAGAGGTGTGCGCGTGAAGATTAACATCGCGCGCTGCGGATATCCAACCGTGCGTGGAGTCGTCCACCGCAGCCTGGCGGACCCCTCGCGGCCTTTTGCTTCCGCACCCCCTTCGGCAACCCTCAGTTCTGACGACCGTAACTATTTCCAGACGCGTTTAATTAATCTTGAACCGAAAACGTCGAGTGGGAAAATGGCGGGCGGGCGGACGGACGGACGGACAGTCGGTCGGTCGTTCGGTTGGTCGGTTAGGAGCTCCGGCACCGGCCACCTGGCAGAAATAGCAGCCATGGAAACGGCTCTGCTGACGTTTCCTCCGCTTGCTAGAACTAGAGAAAGAGAGAGACTCTGAGACAGAGACGCGGGCGGCAAGAGGGGTAAACGGGAGCGACGGAGAAATAAACGGGGTAGTGGTGGAGTTGGCACCTGCCGACCGCCGTCTCGTCACCGACGTTATTTCGACCTCCTCGAGGACAAGTCCGATTGCAATCGATTCGCTCGGTCCATGATTAGCTATCTTCCCTTGCAAAATATTATTGCACGGAAAAAAAGGATATTTTTATTTTGCGAAGATCTGTATTCTCACGTACACGTTGAAGTAAGATTATATAGCGCTGGATAGATAAAACTTACAAAGAAATTCTATATATGGTTCTACTAAAAGTATAATATTCTCGTTATTCGAGGATAATTTTCTCGAATTGAATGTGAAGAATACTGTAATTGCAATTTTTTTAACTTGAAATTACTTTATCTTTATTCGAATATATCTTTATTCGAATATAAGAGTAGAGATTCGTAAGTAAAAGGAACTTAATTCGAATCCTCCCGGCAACTTCGGCTTCCGGATTTTCTCCTTACAAGAACCGGATTTTATATTTAAGATCATCTTATGATATCTTCAGATACTATACAGGTGATTTCATTGTACTACAAAGTATCTGAAGATGACAGTTATTATCTAGCCATTGGGAGAAGTCAGCGTTACATTACTGATTAACGGCGACGTTAGGCACAAACTCCACTACTTTGCGGCTGGACACTCACGAGGTTCAATTTCTACCAGGGTTGTCACGGCCGTCGAGACGATTTTTCAGGCGGGTGTTTGCCAGGTGGAGAGGAGGCGAGTTGCGAAAGAGAGAGGAAGAGAGAGAGATCTCGCCGTCGTCCCGCCTTAATTCGCCGGGTCAACGGATATCCGTAAACGCAAGAGTTCCGTAAGAGCGCGGCGGCGGTCTCTCTCGCCCGCTAATAATAAACCCCCGTGTCTCGTATATATCCCACCGGCCAGATTTATATATATTCCACGGTGCGCCGGAAACCGATTCCGAAATATCCCGTGCGAGACCGCGGAAGCATTAAAAGAATAATCCAGCCTCTCGGACACGGCGGGCGGACAAGCTGTGAGTAGAGGTGTACGCGCAAATGAGCGTGCCGAGCGGCGCGGCGTCGAAATCTCCTCCGCCCACGAAAACGTATCGAGTGCCAAAAACACGAGGGAGATCAGTTTCGCTGCGAACGTTGGCATGACGCTCGATCGACCAGATTTCCAGCGGATTTCCGCCGTGATATCTCTCTCTCTCTCTCTCTCTCTCTAGTCCTTCGTATTTTAGCAGAAGATTGCCAACGATAGAGGCTTCCAATTAATGATCCTTAACTATTCTCTGAATTTTTTGGGGTGAAATCTCATATTTTCAAAACGAATGAAAATTTACTCGATATTGTGTGTGTGTGTGTGTGTGTGTGTGTGTGTGCGTGCGTATTTCATTTATATATTTTTTTCTATATTATTATTATTTATTTTTTATATTCTAAGAACATTTTTATAATATGTCAAGAATGTTATGTGAAATGGACATATAACGTCTCAATAGAATATTCCTATAATATTAAAAAATATTACATAACATTCTTAGAATATTATAAGAATGTTATTTTAATATTGAATAACACTCATATAATATTCTAGGAATATTGCGCGTTTATAGGAATCCAGCATGTCCAGGACAACTCGATATACACGCGCCTGTCTTGAGTCCCCGATAATTTGCGTGTGCTTGATGGTAGATAAACGAGCTCTTCGTGTTTTACTCGATAATGTGTGTGTGCGAGAGCTAAATGGATTTTGATTTCATCTAATTTCAATTTAATCGCTCGAATCGCGCACCAATCAGAACTCGGTAGCCGAAGGTAATGGTCGACGCTGCGTCGTGATGTACCGCGACTTCCCGGCCGGCCGTATCAAAAGATCGACGGAACGAGACCGCAATTTCTAACTCGACGCTGCGTGTATCGACTGATTTGCAATTAGCAGTCTAATTTCCTGCCGAGATGTTTAATGTAGAGGGAAAGAGAGAGAGAAAGTGAAGGCAATACAAATCGGCCGCCTCCGCCGTCGTACCGCGAGATCTCATCGGGAAGAAATAACGTCGATTCGCTACATCGTTGCATGCCACTTTGCTCTCGGAATTTTCTTACCTAGAAACGAGACGGTAAACGATCCGTGTTGAAATGCCGCGCGAACATCAGTTAAAAGGAGAAAGAAAGGGATGACGAAAAAATAATTAACGCGTTACGAAAGAAGAGGGAAGAGAAGAGGACAGGCGAAGAGAGAGAGGGAGAGGAGGGGGATGTTCGTTGTGTCCGGGAACATTTAATCTCGCGTGAGTGGCGTGCGCCGAGATAAACCGCTTCGAGGCGCGGAGATGATAAGAATGCCGATAAGAATATCAGAGGCCGTCTCCCTATGGGGTAGTTGCCCCCGCGCGGTCACGCTTTCAATGAAGCCGTTCACCATGAAATTTCGTATCGTGTCCCGAACATCGGAACTTCGCTATGCGCGTCTTTCACGCGTCGCGTTAATCGCGACGATCGACGGTTACCGCTCGCGAACGCGACTCCCTTCGGCTGATTCATAGGTGAATTGCGGGAACAATAAATGCTACGAATTTGAAGAGACACTCGCGAATTAAGGGTTTGAGTCAATTGATATAAAAGAAATAATAAAAATGAAAAATATAAAGATAATAAAATATATATGCGATGAAATAAAAGTGAAATAAGAAAGTAGAAACGAATTAAAACGATAGAAACCGAAAATAAAATTAAAATATCATCGCAGCCATGATTCGGACCATCGATTCGATTGTTCGGCGGAGGATCGATCGTATCGTTGCGGATCGACGCGAAGAAAAAAGCGTGTTCGCCGATCGCGGCGTTGTTGACAGGATCCGAAGGAAAATTGTTGATTTCGTGCGGAGAAGTGTGTACAGTAGCACGATGCGCTCCAAGTGTCTTTGATGTCACGCGCGGAGAACGCGGAGCGCAAGAATGGCAGCGGACGTACGAACGACGTAGGTCAGCGTCGCTTCTCTCTCGTGTCGTCGCGAGTATCCGACGTTTGTGAGGTTACTACCTTCAACGTAATATTTGGAATAACCTTTGCCAGCGGCAGACACGCTGGATAAATCGCTCGCCGGAGAGAGATCGGGAAGTCCTTCCATCCCCGAAGAGGAAGCTGAAACAGAACTCAAGACGAGTCACATATCGGGTGCTACGTCGAGCTTAAATACGGACGGGAATACCGAGACACACCTCGATGCAAAAGCGAAGGATAACGGTATGACAAATTGTTCTTCTGCTTCTCCCCCTCGAGGAGACATCTACGTGCAATCGACATGAGATCAAATCATTTCAGATGTACGCGTTTCCTCCGGCGACATTTGTCGGATCTGTCATATGGGGGAAAACGGCTCGATCACCGGGAATCATTCGTTTACGCCAGATCCGCGAAATCAGGACGTACAAACACCGTTGACACCGTCGAATCTCGTCCACTTCGGCCCTCTGATCTCGGCATGCAAGTAAGCCCTCGACTCGTTGCGGAAAAATAAGCATTGATTGATTGTGGAATGAATACGAGCTTATCCATCAACTCGATACATTCCGCGCAATCGCGATTTTCGATCGAGGAAACAACCGGTCATCGATTTCCTACATCTGCGCTGTAACGGAACGCAAACGAGTCACGCTTGAGGGGGCAAAGCGTAACGAGGGTAGATCGCGTGCGTGTTCCACCCGACTTCGCGCCCAAGGTGTTTTTCCGCATGTTCTGAAAAAAATCGCCCGCGAAGAGCAGAAAGAGAAAATGTGAGGCGCATCGTCGGAATTTCGCCCTGGGGTGACGGACGTCACCGTGTCGACATATAAATCGCCGGGTTATTGCGAATCGCTCAGAGATTGCGCGTTAACGTTAGATAACTTACATTATTTTCTAGCAGCGACCGGTCTTTCTTTCAGATCAATGGTGATCAAGGGAATAGACATTGTTTAATATGCCCTGCATTCCGTTTTTATCACACAAACATATTGGCCCTCCCTTCCTTTTTCTTTTTTTAGTTCTATACCGAAAGAACCTTACCTTCTCCATTTCGATTCCATCGATGATTAGTAGAGATATCGGATAAAAAAAATCCGAGTGAGTAAATTTAACACGGTTCGTTATCACGGCGAAATTAATGACACAAGGGAGACGTTCTCACATTCTCGTCGTCCTTCCTTAATATCCTTTTACACGACGTGACAGGTGCCGAGGCACGGTGGCTTTGGTGCACGTCGAGTGTCTCGAGAGATGGTTAACTGAGTCCGGTCGCGCGAGATGTGAACTCTGCGGCCACAGGTACGCGACGAAGAGGGTGCCGCGCTACGGCCTCATTCGCAGCGTCGTGATATGGCTCCACAGCGTGATAGCCAACCGACAGGTGAGACGACGGGTTATTAACGCGTTAACACGCCTTCTCGCCTTTCGTTTTCTGCGCGTCTAATTCGCAAGGTCCGCTCGGAACGGTCTTCACTGGTATACAAAAAAAGAAAGGATTAAGAAGGACTTCGCATGAAATAATTTTCAAACTGAAACAGTAAAAAATCATATTTGTTATTGGTAGCTTACGAAAGTTCGTCGGATCGTTGATTTCCGTCGACTCAAAATAATGGATCATTTTGTAGACTATCATGATATTGCACGCACAGCGCAACATGAGATTAGAATCATGTAACAAAATGTGTGTCCCTTGCGGGCGTATTGGCTCGAATATTGTTCCGTCTAATCAGGCTCTTAATTAACATTAATTCGCCCCCTGCGCTTAATGCGAGGAGATGCTACTCGACGTCGGATACTTGGCGATGACCACGCCTGTGGCCGCGTTTTCCTGCTACGTGTGCACCCTGGCCTTGAAAATACTGCTGCGAAACGGCCTTTATGAGATACCGTGGATGATATTCGCCATGCTGCCAACCTGCTTATTGACGCTGATAGCTTATTGGCGATGGATAATTACGTTAGGGAGGTACGTCCGTAGAAAAAAAAAGGAAAGAACGAGAAAAGAGAGAAAAAGAGGGGGAGGCAGAGGGGGAAGAGAGAAAAAGTTTAAACTAGCTCGCCGCTCGTGCGCCGCGCTTACGCCGCCGCAAAAACGCGGCCGTTAATGGAAAATGAGTTAATGAAGACATCGCGCAGCACGAATGCGCGTGATCGTGCAGTTGTAAAAATTTGGCGGGCCGTGAGAAACGGCAGTGCGTGCATCGATTCGCCGATACTTATCGGAAAAGCCATTAAAGGCCGCGTTTAACCGTTTCTCTCGTTACAAACCTCTTCGGAACGTTATTATCATGCGTAATTTCGCGCGTAAATTTCATCGAGAGTCACTTCTCTCAGCTTTTCCGAGAGGGCAGATTTTTCGGTTCACCGCACGTCTTAACCGGGGAACAATCATCCGGAGTCGTTTCGTACCCCAGCGGTTGGAAAATGAAGCTCACGTCGTGGTGGATTTTTTTTTGCCGATCGGGAACCGATATGTACCTTTCATTTAGACGTTCAGATACCTAATTTGTGCAACGAGAATAAATTGTGGCCGGTCTTATTCATAGTATAAGCTTGTAAATACAAAACTTTGGTACACATGTGTACCCATACATCCAGTAAACACTACGATTCAAATGACAATTTCTCCAAATTCTTTGACTCCCCTTTAATATTATCGACTATAGCGTTCCAGGATTGAGATATTTCTTCGTAAAAATATAATATAATATAATAATATATAACAATAAAATCTAGTAATCAAATCAGATTAAATAATAAAAATCTTATAATTCCGGAAGGATATTGTCTTATTGCAGATTGCACGGTCGTCGGTGGAGACGTTACTGGCGGAACAACTTCGCGATTCGTTTGATCCCGAACGCGGACGGTAATAATACCGAGAGTGCGCAGAACGAAGCAGATCATCCGTCAATCGAGGATGTTGATTTCGACCGATGGATGTTCGAGGAGATCGAAGGAATTCGCGTGACCTTTGAGCCGCTCGACGACCCCGATTAATCGCGGCAATCATTTCCTATCTTCGTTCGAATACGTTCGCCCCCTTCCCCGCCGCCGATGCTACCCTTATTACAGCTGTATTTAATTGCATTTTATCAAGCGAACACTTCAATTGAAGCCCATTGTTACGTAACGAGGACGATTCGCCGCGGCATTAAAATCAAATCGAGACGCGCGCAGCCCGCGTTTCCGCGCTCCCGATCGCCCGGATTTCATATAATCGCTTAAACATTGATTATCTCTTCCTACCGCAATCCTGGAGTCAGATCAACACAATTAATAAATTATCCACGTGTTTGCTCAAAATATGCTGTATTTTGTTCATAATAGCGGTTTTTAATCGGGATCTAAAGGAGCTTAGATGATCGTTTACGTTAAAGAAAAGAAAAAAAAAATTCCCTGATTAAACATAACCGGCAGAAGTTGCGGGGGACTCGCGGAAAACGGTCGATAAAAGCTGCGACGTGTCGTTCTTGTTAGCTCAATTGCGATCAACAGAATTGCGCGCACGATCGCACTTGAGAACCGCTGGGCCGATCCCCTCGCCGCGACGACCTGCATGCAGTTTACATTTTAATGCGCGATAATGACCGGCATCTCGTCCACGGCATGCGCCGCCGTTGATTCATAAAACTGAGTAATTATGCCCGGCCGAGTTTCGCCGCTTCTCGCCGCAAAAATTCTCGCGTGCGCGCCAAGTGAGGCGTGAAGACTGCCCGGAAGTGTCTCATTCGTTCACCGCGTATACATCGGAAATTGCTTAATGGAAACCCGAACGTCGTTCGTTCACGCCTGCCGCGTTTTATGCGAAAAAAATCCGCGTAAAACACTTCTCGCCGGTGTAAAATGAAAAATTATATTTTATCGTAGAAATATTTTTCGTGGTGATGTCTTTCTTTAATTATTGACATGTTTATTTCGATCTACCGCACCGGCTTTCCGGCTTGCGCGCCGAGGAAGAAATGAATCTTTTACGCGGCGTCCCCGCGGACGTATCCGGCTCTTCCTCTCCAGAGATTCTACGCGATGCGCCTGGCGAACCCTTCTTCCTCGCCATGCGCTCTCCTAGACGCGGCGAAGGGAATAGGAAAAAAAAAAGTAGTAAAAGGAGAGACGAAAAGGATACCGCCGCGACATACGTACGTGCGGGCGTCACAGCGGAATCCTTTCCCGCATCCTTTCTCGCGACAGAAAAAAAGTCATATTTATGCGGCGGATATTTGTCTCGCTGACAGACGTTCCTCACCACTGCTTGATTTAGTGCGGAGCTGCGGTTCTTAAATCTTTTGATCCACGCGCGAGACAGACGCGCGAGTCTCGCCCACGGGGGTGTATAGGATGACCCGAATCGAAATTCGGATGCTGTACGGAAGAAAAAGATATTCTTATTTTGAGAAGGTCCGTATTCTCAGCGTATCACGGTTGCAACAGTTTCCCTTTCTCATATTTCGGAATACACACAAAAAAATGATGACGCTCGGTGCGTGTCTTATGACGTCCTGCGACGGCGTACTAACGAGAAATCCCCTCGCTCGGGGCGACACAGATCGCAATTAAGCGGGAGTTCGAGTCTGATTTAAGGTGCCGTAAACGCTGATTGAACCGTAAACCGATGCGAGGGCGCCGAAGCGACCTCGACGCGGTAATTTGTTCGCCGCGAGGAAAACCGATAAATCCGCTCGCGGATGGAACGAACGGATAGACGCGCGCGCGCTCCACCCGAGTCGCTTCGTTCGTTCGTCCCTTATTATTCATGAACTTAATTACCCGTCGCGTTCGTGACAAAGAGCGGGAGAAAGGACGGCGAATTATTCCTTCCTCTCGGCGGAACGCTTCCATAGTTGAAATTCGAATCTATCATAAATCTTGCGAGTGCCGATTTTTGTGCTTCCGATAATATTAGGTGTACAAATTAATTCGGTGCGCTTGCATTCTAATGTCCCGTAACTCTGGTTCACATCGAAATTTCTCTCCCCTTTGTCCTCCCACGAGGTCGATTTTATAATTAGATAACTCTAATCTCGCGCACTCTCGGGCGTTCTTCGGCTGAGAAACAAGCATTGTTAACGTAATTACGGCGGATATATGTTGGAAGCGCGACGAGTGCCGCACCTCATTTCCCGTCGTTTTACACGACGCGTCCATCCGAGCACGTGAGCGTCGTTACGCCAGCGCGATCAATTCACTCGCGCTTCAGTAATTACGACTAATGTTTCACGCTTCCGTAAATTTCTATCTGCCGATTGGCCGGCCTCTATGCAAAACCCATACGGCATAGAGGCTTGCGATAACAACGCTGCAATACTGCATATCGCAGTGCAATATTGCAGAGACATTCATCTTTTTGATATTATTATTTTAAATCTTACAAGATTTATTATTTTCAGAATAATCATATTGTGATCTGTAGTGGACTATCGTAATCTCACGATAACATTGAGTTAAAAAATTCGTTAAAAATTCGTTAAAAAATTCAAGAATATTAAATTTTGTCGGGAATTCCGCCGCGTCGTCGCCGCCACTTTCTCATGCCGAGCGATAATAAATTGACCGTCGCGCCATAGATAACCCGCGGCGATAAATTCTTGCCGTGGACCGATAACATGCCATACGTTCTCTTCTTCTCTGCTTTTCTCCTTTTTTTACTATTTTTTGTCATTCTCGTCGACGCATTGTCGCAGAGAGCATATGCAGTAACGTGAACTAGCGTTTCCACGCTCGAATAGTCAAGTGGACCGACGTTAGGCCAGATCATCGGCACGCGATTGATCGCACTCAAGTTCCCCGAGTAGCCGTGATCGTCTAGTGGTTAGGACCCTACGTTGTGGCCGTAGTAACCCAGGTTCGAATCCTGGTCACGGCATGAGAAGTTTGACAAGTTAATCTTCCACACACCAATGGGGGAGGATTTTTTTAATTCAATTTTTTCAATTTCAATTTATTTATTTTCTTGAGGGGAGAAGCGATTTTCTTCCTCTTCGAAAATTGAAACGCGTTATATTATGTAAAATGAATTGGAAGTGGACGGGGAAATCTCGATGTATCGAATCTCGAATGAATCGCTTGAAGAGCCGTCCCTCATTAAGCGGGAAAAGGACCAATTTTCGAAGAGAAAGAAATCGCTTTTCCCTTCAAGAAAAAAATAAATTGAAATCGAAAAGATATAATTAAAAAAAAAGCATTCTCCCCCCCCGATTGAGTTGCGGAAGCATTGACCTACTACTCTCTTTTGCCGTGACCAGGATTCGAACCTGGGTTACTACGGCCACAACGTAGGGTCCTAACCACTAGACGATCACGGCCACTCGGAGAACTCGAAAGCGATCGATCGCGCACCGATGATCTGTGTAACGTCGGTCCGCTTGACCACTCGAACACGAAGACGACAGTTCACGCTATTGCATCGCTCCAAGCAGTGCATTATTACGTGTACAACTTAATTCTTAATCTTCTTAAAGAAAATATGTGGTTTATTTATGAAAAAACGAATAATCTTTCGACCTTCGAAATAGTCCCCGTTACTTTCCACACACTTCTGCCATCTCTAGGGTAACCGGCGAAATCCGCTTCGGAAGAAGGAAAGTGATTTCGAATTGATAAACTCGTCGATGCTCTTGTCGACCTTCTCGGAAGTGAGGAGAATCAATCGAGCGATGTTGCGGGAACCCGAAGGAGCGAGATCTAGAGAATACGCCGCGTGAGGGAGAATTTTCCAGCCCGCTGATATCGCGGGATTCGCGCGAGCAATTCGCGAGGAATTTTAGACGTTAAACATTTCTAAAAGAATTTAATAGAAGGATGATGAAAAATATCTTTTGTACTAACCTGACCTTAATATTATGAATTGTCGCCAGTTTCTCGTTTTCTCTCTCTCTTTCTCTTTCATTGGCTCTCTTCGCCTCTCGTTGCTTTTTGCGAGCGCTCTTTCTCTTCCACGACTCGCGAGCTCGGCTTCCCGGATTTCCTAGCAATTAGCGGCGTAATATCGTCGGAGGAAACGAGATTTTACGAGCGGCCATTTTTGCCAGCCGCTCGACGACAGCGAATCGCGTCCATTGGGTTTTATTGTTTCCAGTCCGCCGACCGACGCATTACTTCGCAAATGCGCTTCAGTAGCGCGTCTTAATGTGGTTAATATCGGATCCACTCGCGGATAAATTACGTGGCGCTCTCTCTCTCTCTCTCTCTCTCGCGTGTCGTAAATCAGACATCGAGAAGATCTTTTCCCTTCCTCGCGAAACAACGGAGAATGGGGAACAGAGGGGAATCAAGCGAGATCGACGCTGCTTTACACGCGTTATTAATCGCTCGTCGATCTCCAGTCACGCTTCGCCGTCGTCGTCCGCGCCTGAAGGGCTCCGGGGAGCTCGATGCGGAAACGCGGTCACGTTTTCATCCGGAAACTCGCGTAGATAGGTGTCGCGTGGTACGCGTGGGATAAAAAAACGCCGGGATGGAAGGCGATATCCTTCGGCGACACCCCGGAAGCGTGCGCGCCAGACGAGCGCGTTGAATTGACGCGCGGAACGCCGCGAGGATTCGTTCGTCGAGAATAGAATCCCCGCTTTGCGCTTTAACGTCGCGTGAATTGAGCGTGTCGGAAATTAACTGCCTGGTAATCAAAATATCCCCGAGAGGTGCGTCGCAGGTACTGGCGAAAAACAGAGTCTACTTTCTTTCTCACTGCGTATTCGTGTAAGATCGCCCGGAGGAAAAAATGATTATATGCGATTATATATAATTATACAAAATCGCATGCGGATTTCGCCCATATACGTAGTTAGATATATGATCACATATGTCTGTACGAGAGAAATGATGTTATGTCATTTAATTGAAGTGAAATTAAATGATATATATGGTAGTTAACGTAACGTACAGCAACCATGACGTAATGGCATTTCGAAGCCTTCTCTCTCTCTCTCCCTTTTTGCTCGTTCTTCGCATCTCCAGCATACCGTTACTTTCTTAGCGCGCGTGGTACAAATTCGACTTCTCCCCTTTTTCTCTCCCTCTCTCGCGAGCTCGACCCTTCTTTTTTCTCACGCGAGAAAACGAGATGCAGCAGGGCGCTCCAAAAATAGTCGCGCGCGCGCGCATCACGCCGGAATATGAAACCAGAAGTAACTAGTGGCAAGGCCCGCGCCTGGCATCTGG